TTTTTTTTTTCTATGGTCAGCTGGATAGATGGATGGATGGATGAATGGATGAATGCTTGGTGTGTTAGTGTGGTCTATTCTCTTCAATCTCGATGGATAGGATAAAGCAAAGAGGCTCTCCTTCTTTCTTCACCTCGTCGAGTACCTCGAAGCTTCGTGGATGAGCGAACCTCTTTTTCAACGAGGCTCCTTAGGTTCCTTATGTTCATCCTTATGTTCGTCCTTCGAATGGGTATTCGTTGAAATACAGCCATAAATAGAAATCAAAGTAAAGATAAAATTTTTCTTTAACATTTCAACTCTTCACTGTTTATTTGTTCAATGTGTATAAGAATTTACGGTCGAATAGAAATTAATTATTCGATACTACGCGTCAATATTTTATTTAACTTTTCACCATTCAAAAATCAACAACTTGAGTAACAATAGATTTCAAATTATTTCATTGTCGTCTCTATTCGATCGAATGATTTTTCAAATCTTAATGATAGAGTGAAATAGGAAAAAGACCTTGAATCTCAAGTTCGCATAATATAAAGACTTGACGAGATTTCGCATCGCGTATTTGACGATAAAATTATATTTACTTTCACTTTATTCAGAATATTTTAGGGTCTCGGAGTAACAATAATATACATGTTTATAATAGCACATTCTCTTTTTAATAAAGTATCTTCTCATCGTTGCCGCCGAAAGCACGATAAAACGACGATCATGCTCTCGCGAGCGTGCAAATAGATTTTTAATCGAGGGTGGATCGTGAGGGCGGCGACGCGAGGCTAAGCTCTACTTTGCAGGAATTTCTAAGGAGCTGTAATGGGGGAATCAAGTTTTCGGAGATAAGGATCACCACAGTGTAATAAGGGATCGGACGAGGGATCCTAAACCGTCCGGCGTTCTAGGAGTTAACTTCTACAGAGATCGAGCGAAGGATCTAAAAGGCTCTCTAATAGCTAGAACTTCGTAGACGGAATTCTTCGAGCTATCTGCTTCGATCTCAATTTGGGAATAATCTACCAATAGAGCACTGACGCGCGTGGGCTTATCTCCTCGATAATCTCCAATCGTTTCCGTCCGTGTAATCTCGAGAGATTAACCCCTTCAACGATGTCTAAAGAGCGTATGATCAACTCCTTAACGAGTGTTGATGTCTAAAGAGTTTACTTAATTAGGAATTTTTAATATGTATGAGAACAACGTCAATTCGTATGTCGATATTTCTTTCTTATTATTATTATTATTAATATTTTTGTTGTCATGAAAACTAAAGATTTTGTGTACACGTTGTAGAATTGATATAAAGTACACATTTTGAACGTGTAAATTGCATTGTTGTTTCGTTCGTTGTCTATTGTGATTCAACGTTTAGATAGGTTCATTAACAGATTTAGGTCACGACTGACAAATTAATAACTCCCATAATCACCACATACATGTGTGTTTTAACTATTATTACCACATATATTGTACTTTAACTACAATTATCACACATATCATATTTTAACATTGAATTGTTTTGGTAATGGCATTTTTTTTTTTGTCAACAAAAAGTGAAATCTATACGTGATAAATTTTGCAGATAAAAGATAAAGTGTTACTTCAAATGATAATATACTAAGAAGAATGTTAGAGTAAAAGCTTTCAAAAGTGTAATTACGTACTCGTCGCGTATCCTGCTACAACAGGAAAATCTTCTTTCTCTATCTCGACCTTAACCTCTCGTTATTCAGTCACCCCGACGCGTTACACTTTATCGATCCCTTTCTTCTCATTTCCAGTTTGCGTAGATCACGGTTCTTTCCCTCTTTCTCCTCCTTTCGTCATTAAGGACGTGACATTTCGCTCGTCCCCAGCCCGAATCTCTCCTTTTCCTATCGAAGACCTTGCTTCGAAATCGGAAACGCTCTTCACTATATCTTCGCGTATTTCCTCTCTCTTCTTCTGGCTTGTAATTCCATTTTATATCGAATGTTTTTGCCCTTTGTTTCGCTGTTCCAACGTTATCGCGGCTCGCGAAATCGGTTTTAAATAATCGATCGTCGGTAACGATGCCTCTGTCGAGCGAACCGGAAACGAGATTGCGCACGAAAACGCTTTTCACTGAGACAGCCTTCGGGTTTCTTTCTTTTTTTTTTTTTTTTTATGCCTTCATTCCTCCCCTTTTCGTGGGTACTTCTCTCTCGAGTGTGCGTGGGCGACTCGCTGACGATTTATCCTTCGTTTGTTGCAGATGGAAGACGAGGGCAATCACGGCAACGACGACACCAGATGCTTCATCCTGTCGACGCTGGCCGCGTTACAGTGGTCCAGGGTATCCTGCGTCCTTTGTCGTGCACCAATGCTCGTCTTTGATAGGTATCCGTTGGTGGATGGCACCTTTTTCTTGTCACCCAGACAGCACTCGACCGCCTGCGCCGAGGTAATTTGAAATTTCAATTCTAACACGTTGAATTGGGCCAAGATCAGTAAAAATACATAATTAGAGTAAAAAAAAAATCTCAATACTGTATCGATGAGGTTACTGGTGACCTCTAATAAGAGATAAATTCATTGAACATGACTATATACCTCGATATACTCGTGTCGATAATAGTACGTATCAAATAATAAGAAATTCATGTTGGTGCCACGGAGACCATCCACGTGGCATTCAACGACATTCAATGATTCGGGATTTTCTTACTGTATTTTGATCTTGCTTTCATTTCACCGTGTGAAAAGAAAATAAAAAGTCGTGTAAACTAGTAACAAATATTTATATTTTGACTTCTTCTTCTTGTGTTAGTCTCTCCCAGGTTTTCATTTAATGCTTGAATATTTAAAATAATTATTTCTTTCAAACATCAAATAAATTTGCGAGAATTGTAACAACAATGTTGGAATATCTGATATTGATCATGCTTTTCTTTGGTTACGTTTACTATTTTCGTGTTTCGTATGCTTTGTTGAAACATGATTGTGAGCTTACGATGCGTAGAACTTGAAATAAAACTCGCAAGAATGAAACGGCGACCGAGAACGATTGACGGATGCCCTGGTGGATTGTTGCGTTCCAGGTGAAGGTGGAAGGTCGCACGCAATTCTTATCAGCAGTGTGCATGAGTTGCCTCGAGGGTAGCGGTGGCCAGCCGGTGCGTTGTCGTTACTGTACTCAACCATGGGACGGCTCTAGCTTAGTCCTTGGGACAATGTACAGCTACGATATCTTCGCTGCCATGCCCTGTTGCACCGAGCGACTTAAGGTAAGTTCTTCATTTTGTCATTTTCACTGTTGAAGTAATCACGGAGAATCGAATTGAACTTGCACTAAGTAGCATATATACTTTTCCACGTTATCCATATATTTTGCATTTAAGAATTTCCAACGTGTGGACAAAATTTAATTTAAACCAATAATCGAGGATTTACACCTAGATTTGTCACGTATATATAATTCTTCATTTTAGAATTTTTTGATAGTTTGACTTCAATCGTTGAAGTATTTGAGATATTAAGTTAACTCGTAGAAACATCAGTATTCGAGTCGTTATATGTAAATATTATAAATTTAACACGTTCCGTGCCATGTGCC